TTATTTTTGTTTAAAATATTACAGATGTCCCTTTTTCTCCACAATGACCCGTTCCACCCCCTCCCTTCCCCCTCCCCAGTCCCTCTCCCCACTATTGTCCGTGTCCATGGGTTGTGCATATATGCATATAAATTCTTTGGTTACTCTCTCCCCCTCCACCCACCCGCCATCCTCCATCCCTCTGACATTCGTCAGTCTCATCTATGCTTCCATGTCATTGACTCTATTCTGTTCATCAGTTTATTAAGCTCTTTAGGTTCTACGTATAAGCGAGATCATGTGATGTTTCTCTTTCGATGCCTGGCTTATTTCACTTAGCATAGTATTCTCCAGGTCCATCCATACTGTATGCCATCATTTTTAAGGGCTGCTGAATATTTCCCTATATGAGATATACAACATTTATTTAACCAGTTCCCTGGACCGAAAACTTAGGTTTGTTTCCAATTTTTTGCTTGGTAAGCATGGCTGTGGTGACTTGTCTCTGAGCACATGTCTGATTATCTCCTTCACCGTCCCTGCTGGACTGGAGTTGATGGTCTTGGGTGTGCTTTCTTTCTGTGAGACTCAGTCCACGTCACTAATCCCCTTGCAACTCTCATGGGGTGGACTTTGTTCTCCGCAGGGCAGAAGGCCAGCGGGCTCTGAGACTGCTGGGCCTCACACTCGTTCTCCACTGGCAGCGTCATGCTGTCCCATCTTCTCTCAGGCCACATTCTTACAAGGTACTCTGTAGAGTGATGCTTCCTCGGTTGGCATTTATCCTTAGCGCAGTGGGAGAAGTGAAGCCGACATTACAGTGGGCCTTCCTCCTCTTGTCCTCACCCAGGATAGGTCTCCATGGTCAACTGGGAGTCCCTCAGGACTCCCCATTCTGATGACCCTCTCCCCCCAGGCGCAGCAGGAGACACAGAAGGCAGCCTTGCGATACGAGCGGGCCGTGAGCATGCACAATGCTGCCCGGGAGATGGTGTTTGTGGCCGAGCAGGGTGTCATGGCTGACAAGAACCGGCTGGACCCTACGTGGCAGGAGATGCTCAACCATGCCACCTGCAAGGTGAGCCAAGGTGTTCCAGCAGGTCCCCTCCCTGGTTCCCATGCTTCCTTTGCTGTCTCTTTATCATATCAGCCTCCTCACTCCTTTCTGTCACTTTTCCACTCCAGCCTTTCCTCAGCTTTAACTCTGTTTCAGGCAAACCTGTTTCTTGCCCTGCCCTGTTTCGCCCCCTGTGCTTTTTATATCCATCTCCTCTGGACTCAGACTGTCTGTTTGGCTCTTTCTGAACCTTTGCCCTCAGGTTTGGGACTATTCCAAACAGTTTATCCCTGCTAGGTGCTCTGGGTTCAACACTCACATTTTGTTATGTTTAGCTGTGGCCCCTTCTGTTTTCATAATATTCTCTCTCTCTTGCTTTTAAGCTCTGCCACTGTATTTTGATATTTGAAATGTAATCTGTGTGTCATTTCCAAGCTACTTGAAGGGGACCTAGGAGCGGGAGGATCCCTTGCATCAACTCCATTCTACCACCTTCACCGTGTAAAGAGCAAGTGTCTCAGTCCATTTAGGCTGCTATAACAAAGTAGCATACACAGGGGGCTTAAACAACAAATGTCTGTTTCTCATGGTTCTGGAGGTTGGAAAATCCAGTATCAAGGCACAAGCAGATTTTGTGTTTGGTGAGGGCCCCCTTCCAGGTTCCTGGACTGCTGGCT